AACACCACCCCCCCCAACTCTTCCTCCACCAGTTCCCCCCAAGGGAGAAGGGGAAAGGGCAGGGGTTGAAAGAATGCAGAAGGGAGATGTGGGTTGAGCTCTGGGACTTGGTTCCCCTTTCGCTAGATGCCACCTTCCCTGAATCCCCCACCACTACCAGCTCCCTGGCCTCCCTGCCCCTTGGGAGCCCCTTCACACTCTTGTGCAGGGACTTGGGGGTCCCTGGAGCTCAGGGGTCAGGCTGCTTTGTGTGAGATTGTAGTTTTCCCATCTTCTGGGAAGGGATCTTTGGTGATTCCCCTCTCAATCTTCCTCCAGGGAATGGCCTCCATGAGGGGCGGGGCCAGCTCCCATACCTTCTCCAGCCCTTGGGGCAACTGAGCAATATACTTATCTGAATCTCTACTCATGGCCCCCACCAGCTCTGAATGTCTAACCTGCTCCCCTGATTCGTAAACCTAGGGGGAAACCATCTCTCACCTAATGATCCCCCCTTGCTCTAAAGCTTTCTCTAAGCCCTTCCCCAGATGCTTCCTAGCACATTCCATTCTTTGTGGCCCAGGGCCTGGACCAGACCATTGTGATACCCAACCCCACCCACCTGGGGGCGTGGTTTTGAATTCCATTCTTCTCAAGAGTGGGTTTCTACGTTCCCCTGTTTCTGTCCCCGTTTCTTCCACATTAAGATGCCATGCCTTTCTTGGCTTCCATGCCTTTGGATCTTCCATATTCCTCTCCATACTCCTAGACTTTGGAGATGGCCTCTCCCAATCCAGGTCAAGGAGGTATTGGAGGGAGGGCTATCCCTCTGTTCCATGGCTGAGCACTTTCTCAACCCAGGGCAGGAAAATATTGGCTCTATCTTGGCCCCCAAATCCAGTACGCCCCAGATTCTTCCAAGGCAAAAGAGGTGAATAGATCACACCTCTTCCTGCCTCTACATATGGCCTCTTCTGGGCTAAACCAGATTTGGGGGCCAGGAAGGAAGAGCTCCATATGGGATGGAGAGGGGAATCTATTTTCTCCCTGTTTTTTTTTTTTTTTTTCCTGATGGTTTCTCTCAGACTAGACCAAATAGCCAGAAAAATGATGGAGGTTGGATGGGTGGGTAAGCCCAAGATTTGCACATGACCTTCCATCCTTACCTTTATCCCCATCTTCCCTAGTGTCACTCCCCTCACCAGTCACTCCAGATGGTTTTAGTGGAATTGTTCTACTCTCCTGGTGGGCTTTGGGTTATCCCCACCAACTTTCCCTCTAAAACAGCACCTTATACCCCATCTTTGACTCAGTTCCCCACACCCAAAGATCCCAGCCTAGGGATGGGGTGCAGGGACCTTAAATAGTCCCTAATCCCTAATTTGCACTAGTTAACCCTGGTCAGGGGTCCCTATATTTCCTTCCAGTGGGGGAGATGAAGATATGTTTGCTCCTAATTCTCTGAAAACTGGGCCTCCCTGCTCTGATTGGGTGAACGTTTGCCATCCCACCCACCTCCCCCCTGAAAAGCAGCTTACAAGGGGAGAACCAGTTTGGGGGAGCAAATCTGACAAATGGGAATTAGAGGAGTGCAGTTTTAAAAGGGGAAAAGTTGCTGTTGTCAAAATGGCAGGCTTTTCCCCAGCTACTGTTTTTGGGGCCAAGATGGCTGCCCTTGCAGCAGTCACTGCTGGGGCAAGATCATGGCTTTTGGAGGGAGGTGAGTTTAGGGGAGGGCCAGGAATATCCTCCTGCCCTCTCATGCCCTCCCAGCGCATAGGAAGGGGGAGGTTTTCAACAGGTTCCCTGAATGTTAACCACGGAGGAGTCACTCCTTCATTCCTCCTCTGTCTCTTTGCACTTTTCTTGGTCTTGGCCACAGCCTGAGTGAAGAATTTCCTACTGAATGTACCAAGTTCCAATTTTTAAGGGGGGAAATGTTTCAAACAGGGAAAAATGAAAAAAAAAAAATCACTAAAAATTCCCACAAATCTTGTTTCTGGCACTTTAGAAAAACTGCAAAAAATGCATAATAAAGAATACATATATATATCTACACACAAATTATATATATATATATCTATATATACAGCGGAACCACAAGAGAGACTGAGGAAGGCCTGGAGGCACGGGGCACATGTGATGACAGTGCCCCTATATCCTTAACCTATACTCCTCTGAGGCAAACAAGCACGGGAGAATGGAAGGGGTTGAGGATAGATCGGGGAATTTGAATTTCAGAATAGGTCCAAATTCCAAAACCATGGACATTTTGGGAGAATTGAGATTGTAGACATTTATTTTTTTTAAATATAATTAAGGAAAATAGCTTCCAGAATTTGGTGGTTCTGGGCAACAAATGAGATTGTGGCGAAGTGGAGATTAAAATATATGTATTTGAGCTGGGGAATTTGAATATTGTGAGTTTCAGATGTTGGAAATTTGGGATTTTGCAGTTTTGTCTTTTGAAAATGATCAAGTTTTGTCAGTTTGGGCCCTCTTTTCCCACGTTCCCTGGGGAGAAGGGTGATGGAGTGTGAAGGCCACTGGTTCTGTGCTGCAGCACGCAAGATTTAGAATTCTACAAACTCTAGCTCTATACGTAGTGAGGACCCAGATTTAGACCAATATTTATCTCCGCATTTGTGTGTGTGTCCAACTCTGTAGGCCAATAAACCAACAAGACAAATGAACTGTGCTCCACAGTGGGATGCCAGGTGCAATTATTTGCGTGGCTGGTGGGTCTGGGGGAAAGGGACATGCTAACCTTGTCCCTCAGGGATCCCCTGGAGTTGTAGCCCTAAGCTCCCTCTTTGGAAAACAACTTCCAGCAACTGAGTAGGTGTGAGGGCGTGTTGATTCCAAGCTCAAGCTGACTTTCGTCCAACCTCCAACATATTAACAGCCCTGTTCATATCGCCTGCTGGGTGCAAGATCTCCATGTCCAGAATGACTCTGCCTTAAACCAGGTATAAGTTTTCTAAGTTGAAAGGAAGCTAAGGCACAAGATGTATGACAGCTATAAAAGACACAATTTTTCTTTTTCTACTCCTAGACTCCCCATTGGCTTCAACTCCTGCCCCCCCAATATCTTTTCTAGCCTTATAGAGGGATGGGCAAGTAAAATGAGTGAAGCTGGTCAGATGTACAGGGGCTTTGAAGAATTCTGACACAAATAACTGGAGTGGGTAGCCACTAATCAGATCTAGCAAAGTTGCTGCTCACAGGGGAATCAGGCCTGTCGTTACTATGGTTTTTGAATTTTTTTTTTCCAAGAGAAGCCAGAAAGCCAAATTTCTGTGAAATATCCAAAAATATTTTTTTTTGTTGTTTTGAGTTGGAGTCTCACTCTGTCACTCAGGCTGGAGTACACAGTAGCATGCTCACAGCTACCGCAGTCTCGACCTGCTGGGCTCAGGCAATCTTTCTGCATCAGCTTCCCAAGTAGCTGGGACAACAGGCACACACCACCATGCCCAGCTAATTTTTTGATTTATTGTAGAGATGAGGTTTTGCCATGTTGCCCAGGCTACTCTCAGACTCCTAGGCTCAAGCAATCTTCTTGTCTCCACCTCCCAAGGTGCTGGGATAACAGGTGTGAGCCACCATGCCCAGCTGAAATATCCAAATTTTACAAGTAACAAACCAGTTCAAATTTAAAACTATGCAGGCCAACAACATGGGCCAAGTCAAGTAAAACACACAGGTTGCAGTCTCTGATACATACTGTGTAGTGCTTTTGTTCCCATCTTTTCATGTGATCCTCATGCAACACTATGGGTTATATACTATGATTAGTTTTGCTTTACAGATGTGGAAATTGAGATACAAAACAGTTTAATGACTTGCTTGATCACTAATGCTGGAACTTGAATGAAGGTTTTTCTTTTTTTGTTGTTTTTTGTTTGTTTGTTTTTTGAGTTGGAGTCTCGCTCTGTCGCCCAGACTGGAGTGCAGTGCCTGCTCCCAGCCACCACAGCCTCGACCTGCTGGGCTCCGGCGATCCTTCCGCCTCAGCCTTCCAAGTAGCTGGAACTACAGGTGCGTGCTACCACGCCCGGCTAATTTTTTGATTTATTGTAGAGATGAGTTCTCGCCAAGTTGCCCAGGTGGGTTTTGAACCCACAGGCTCAGGCAGTCCACTCACCTCAGCCTCCCAAAGGCGCGGGATTACAGGCTGAGCCACCGAGCCCGGCTCTCTTTTGTTTTTGAGTCTCAGTCTCACTCTGTTGCCTAGGCTGGAGTGTAGTGGCATGATCATGGCTACCATAGTCTCTACCTTCTGGGCTCAGGCAATCCCTTCTGCCTCAGCCTCCCAAGTAGCTGGGACTACAGGTATGTACCACCATACCCAGCTAGTTTTTTATTTATTATAGAGATGAGGTCTCACCATGTTACTCAGGCTAGCCATAAACTCCTGGGCTCAAGCAATCCTCTCGCCTAGGCCTCCCAAAGTATTGGGATTACAGATGTGAGCCACTATACCAGGATAATGATGGTCTTTAAAAATGCTTCTTTTCGGCTGAGCTCGGAGGCTCAGCCTGTAATCCCAGCGCTTTGGGAGGCTGAGGTGAGTGGATTGCCTGAGCCCGCGGGTTCGAGACCTGCCCAGGCAACTTGGCGAGACCTCATCTCTACAATAAATCAAAGATCAGCCGGGTGTGGTAGCGCTCGCCTGTAGTTCCAGCTACTTGGAAGGCTGAGGCGGAAGGATCGCCAGAGCCCAGCAGGTCGAGGCTGCAGTGGCCGGGACCAGCCACTGCACTCCAGTCTGAGCGACAGAGTGAGACTTCAACTCAAAAAAAAAAAATGCTTTTTTTTTTGTTTCTTGTTACAAATGCATGCTTTTAGAAATAACCTTTCTTTTTTCATCTTAAAAAAAGTACACATTATAAAACAACTTATAGAAAGATAAAAACAAAAACAACCACTAGTCCTAACATGCAAACATAAACATTATTAATTGGTGTATTTGCTTTCCCTGTTCATTTAACAAACGTTAAGCACTTACTATAGGTCAGGACCTATGTGAGGTGCTGGGGGATACTACAGTGAACAAGATATGTTTTCTGCCCTCACAAGGCTTACAATCTAGTTCTTGTTTATTTCATTGGGGATCTAGGTGTTTGTACACAAAGGAGCTTATTCAAGAACCCAAAGAGTAAGCTAACAGAACCTTTCAGGTGGGTTCAAGGCACCCGGCTCCCCAGCCCTCAGTCCCCAGAAACGAAATTAGTGGGCCAGATTCCTAGTGAAGGAGTTAAGAGGCAGGGACAGGGCTTAACTGTACCGCCGAACTCTCAGTTCAACTGGCCAAGGACCTGGGTCTCGGCCCTCCAGTCCTCAAGGAAAGGGGTCGGGAGGCGGCAAATGGTACGTGGCGTCCAGGAAGATGACTAGGGTCCCAACGCTCGTGAAGATGATAAAGGTCCACAGGAAGAGGCGGTCCACTACCATGGCCACAAACTGCCAGTCCTCCTTAAGCTGGGGGTAGGCAGAGGAAACTTCCTGAGCTCCTGGGCCCGAGTCCCCAGGGAAGCCTGCCCTCACCTCTCCGTACTCCGCCTTAAACCTCCTGCCACCGTTTGCGGCAAGAATCTGGCAGCTCAACAGGAGAACGAGATCGCGGGCGATGGATGGGAGCAAAGAACCAGTCAGAAGGTAGGTAGGGGGCGGGACTAATCGTGGCAGACATCCAATCAGAAATCGAAAGAGAGCGCTGGGGCGGAACTTGCGGGTGGAGCCAAGGTCGCCGAGGCCCTGCTTGCTCCACCCTCAGTGGACTTACCGTGTCATGGTCCTCCTGTTCCTGCAGCTGTCGAGCGATGTAGCTGATAGAGGAAACGGCTTCCCGTAGCTCAGGAGGCAGGCTCACAGCCCGGTTTGGACCATCGATAAATCGCCGCATGTCCGGGGCAGACAGTTCAGACTGGAACCTGGAAGAGGCGTGACTGGCCATGCCCCGGGTGCAAAGACACACAGCCAGCACTAGCGCCCTAGTCCCCGCTTCAACGACCTCCTTTAACAACCTGCCAGTTCCCTCAAAAGCTGAAGGAGTCCTTCAGGTAATCCCTGCCAGCAGTGACCTCTCCAGCCTTTTGTAACTTCCCATCCCTCTAAGCTTTAGTTTTCACCTGCCCGCAAAGTGAACAGCAGAGGGATACTACAACTCCCATGATGCTCAGCCACAGCATATTCCAGGAGCACGGGCCTCCTGCTTCAGCACATCTTCTGGGAACTGTAGTTCACTCCTCTCTTTTTGTTTATTTTTTTATTTTGTTATTTTCTGAGTCGGAGTCTCACTCAGCCGCCCAGTCTGGAGTGCAGTGATACGCTCACGGCCACCGCAGCCTCGACCTGCTGGGCTCAGGTGATCCTTCCACTTCAGCCTTCCAAGTAGCTGGAACTACAGGTGTGCGCCACCACGCCCGGCTAATTTTTTAATTTATTATAGAGATGAAGTCTCACCAAGTTGCCCAGGCTGGTCTTGAACCCCTGGACTCAGGAAATTCTCTCGCCTCGGCCTCCCAAAGTGTTGGGATTACAGGCGTGAGGCACTGCGCCTGGTCAGATCTCTCTTTTCTATGTGGCTAATGGGTGTAGTCCTACCTGTTGGGTTTGGAGAATAGAAAATCACTTGGTGGCTTCCGGATGAAATATTCATCTGTTCCCCTACCCCAGCCACTTCCTGTAGAAGAGTGAGGGGGCTCTGGCATCTGGTCTCTCTCAGGTTTGGGCCTCTTCAGACCCAGGTACAGAGGGAGCTTGTGGATGAAGATCTGCAGATTAGAAGGGGTGCATTGGAGGGGGCTTTCATGCTTTCAGACCAGAGAGAAAGCAGTCAACCACTCCTATTCCACCTGCCCATTCCATACATGTGTGCACACGGTTTCACAAACAAGGAGCTACAGAAACAAGGAAATGCAGCCACACAGCTTTAAGAGCGCTTTAGTGGGTTAGGGAAATGCGTTCTGAGGGCTTCCACCCTGATAGTACCTAACCCTGAGAATGTTCCCTGGGGGCCCAAGTTGGGCAGTATTGTTGAAAATGGGAGGGCAGAATTAATTGTGCAGCGTTTCAATACCTGACAGGCATTGACACTTCAACACTCTACCAAGTAATTATAGTTCTCCTTAAGGTCATAAAAGGGCAGTAGGGTTGGTGGAAGGGAGGAGTGATATCTGGATTAAAAACCAGATACTAGGATTAAGAATTAACACAGGTTGAAGGAGGAGATCTCTCTTACCTGACGGACCCAAAGGGGCATTTGATGGGTGTGGGGTGAGCGGTGGTGCAGGTTGAGAACCACGACGCTAAGGATGACTGAGAAGGTGACGAGGATCATGGTAAACATGAGGTACTTGATAATAATAGGGACCGATAAGGAGGTCTCAGGTACTTTGTCTGCCAGCAGCAGCAGGAACACAGTAAGGGTCAGCAGAGCAAAGATTGAGAGACCCATCTTCTCTCCTTGGAGGGCAGAGAGCAAAGCAGAAAAATTAAGATTTTGCCAGAAGGAAATCAATGACCATGTTTCTAGCCCACTCAAAGACAGGTTTTTACAAAGGCTGTCTGCATGTAAATCACTCCTACATTTGTACATCCAGCCTGAGCTTCTCCCCTCAACTCCAGACTCATATTCACCTGCCTACTCAGCCTCTCCACTTGGATATCCAATAAATATCTCAAACTTAACAAATCCCAAACCTCATTCTCTCACCACCAAAACTGTACCTCCCATAGTCTTCGCCATCTCATAAGTGACAACTCCATCTATCTTGTGGCTCAGACCAAACTCCTTTGATTAATTCTCAACTCCTCTTTCTCTCCCTCCCCACCCTATATCCAATTCATAGCAAATCCTATTGATTCTACCTTCAAAATATATCTTGAAACAGATAACTTATTACATACACCACTACCATTCTGGTACAAATCACCATTACCTTGGGTCTGAATTATTATAAAGACCCTAACCAGCCGGGCTCAGTAGCTCAGCCTGTAATCCAGCGTCTTTGGGAGGCTGAAGTGAGTGGATTGCCTGAGCCCGCGGGTTCGAGACCCGCCTGGGCAACTTTTCGAGACCTCATCTCCACAATAAATCAAAAAATTAGCTGGGCGAGGTAACGCACGCCTGTGGTTCCAGCTACTTGGAAGGCTGAGGCGGAAGAATCGCCGGAGCCCAGCAGGTCCAGCCTGCGGTGGCCAGGAGTGGCCACTGCACTCCAGTCTGGGTGACGGAGTGAGACTCCAACTCAAAAAAAAAAAAAAAAGACTCTAACTGGTCTCTCTACTCCATCCTTTGCTCCCCTGCTAACTAACTGTTCTCAACTGAGCAGCCAGACTGACCCTGTTAAAATGTAAATCAGATCATACCACTCCTCTTTCCAAAACCTTCCTGTGGCCTCCCTCTCCTTCAGCATAAAAACAAAGTCCATCCAGGAGCAGTGGTTCAGCCTATAATCCCAGCATTTTGGGAGGCTGAGGCAAGATGATTGCCTGAGCCTAGGGTTCGAGATCAGCCTGGTAACTTGGTCAGACCTCATCTCTACAATAAATCACAAAAATTAGCCAGGCATGGTGGTATGCATCTGTAGTTCCAGCTACTTGGAAGGCTGAGGCAGAAGGATCCTCTAAGCCCAGCAGGTCGAGGCTGCTGTGGCCATGAGCGTGCCACTGCACTCCAGCCTGGGCAACAGAGTGAGACTCCAACTCAAAAAAAAGAAAAAAGAAAAAAAAATTCCCCCCTTTTTGTTTTTGAATCAGTCTCACTTTGTTGCCCAGACTGGAGTGCAGTGGCACACTCATGGCCACCGCAGCCTCGACCTGCTAGGCTCAGGTGATCCTTCCACCTCAGCCTTCCAAATAGCTGGGACTACAGGCGCACACCATCACGCCTAGCTAATTATTTTTTGATTTGTTGTAGAGATGAGGTCTTGCCAAGTTGCCCAGGCTGGTCTCGAACCCGCAGGCTCAGGTAATTCTCTCACCTCAGCCTCCCAAAGTGCTGGGATTATAGGTGTGAGCCACTGCACCCAGTCAAAATATTCCCTTTTCAATGAAGCATTCACTGACAGCCTATTTTTATATTACAATCCCTACCCTATTCTCATCTTTTCCAACCCCTTTTCCTACTTTATTTTCCTCTTTAGGACTTGTCCTCTTCTAACATACAACAGACGTATATTCTGCTTATTGACTGACTCCCCCATTAGAACTTAAACTCCATAAAGGAGGAGATTTTTGTCTCTTATTCATGTATTTCCAGTACCTAGCATATTATTGATAATCAGCAAATGTTGCATGAATAAATGGACCAATCCCTGTAACTTTTCCGGGAACTATATAGCAGTTTGAAGGATCCAAAAATGAAGCAAAGTATACAAGGATATGCCAGGTGGCTAGTTATTCCAGTAGCATACAACAGGTGTTGTGAACTTCATGAAAGATATTGAAATAAAAAAATTTTATGGGCTGCTTTACTCTATTCCTATAATATTAGGCTCCAAGATTTTTCCTGCTCCAGGAAGTAAAGGATACACTTGGAAGTATGAGGGAGACCCCCCCCAAAAAAAAACCCTGGAATTTATTTAGAAAAAATTGTATTGGCCAGGTGCAGTGACTCACACCTATAATCCCAGCACTTTGGGAGGCAAAGGTGAGAGGATTGCCTGAGCCCACAGCTTCAAGAACAGCCCAGGCAACTTGGTGAGACCTCATCTCTACGAGAAAAAAAAAAAATTAGCCGGGCATGGTGGCATGTGCCTGTAGTTCAAGCTACCTGGAAGGATGAAGTGGAAGGATCACCTGAGCCCAGCAGATCGAGGCTGCGGTGGCTGTGAGTGTGCCACTGTACTCCATAGCGTGAGACTCTAACTCAAAAAAAAATGTGTATTTATTCTTATATGTTTAACCTTCAGTCACCTTCAAATTACTTTCCATTTGATACAACACACCCATCGAGATGCTTTTTCCACTGCTCAAAACAGTTTTTGAATTCGTCAATTTTGATGCCTTTAAGTGCTTCTGCTGTTTTTTGATTCACCTCTTCCACATCAGCAAAACGTTTCCCTTTGAGCACTTTTTTCATCAGGGAAACAAAAAAAATATTGCAAGATCTGGCGAATAAGGGAGGGCATGGGGGTCATGCTGGTTTTAGTCAAAGTTGAACACTCAGAGTGGTGTGGGCAGGTGTGCTCCTAAATCATTCACTATGAAATGGACAAATGCACTGAAAGAATCTTAAAAAAAAAAACACGAACTGAAGTCAAACTCAACCTTTCACAACAACACTAGTTGGTACACTAGCCAACAGGGTTCCTAGATACCAGTGGGTTCCTAGAACACTTAGCGGGAGAAGCCTGTGCTATAAGGTGCCTGACTTCCCAAAAATGATTTCATTTGGAGGCGGCTCCCCCTAGTATGTTCTAGAGCTATATCACTCTCCTCTAGACGGATGACTTAATGGCAGAGAGTAGGAAAACATGTTTTAAATACTAGAGTTAGGGATATTGGGTCTCTGAATCTGATTGTCACAGACCAAAACTGGAATTGCAACACTGCAATGATGTCAGGCAAATGACTTAAAACTCTTAGCTTCTATCCTCCTCTGTAAAATGGGAATGACAATCTAGTACTTACCTCATCGGATTGTTATAAAGATTAGAAATGAGTTAACACAGGTAACATGTTAACTGAATTACCTTATAGCAAGTGATGAAAACCAGAAACAAAACAAATCCCTCTTCTAAAAACCCCAAACCCAATGCTTACATAGAACTTACTGGGATAATTCTATTAACTCAGTCAATCCTTAAAATAATTATATGCAGTAGGAACAATGATTGGTCCCATTTCCAGATGAGGAAACTGAGACACATAGAGATGATGATGATGATGATTATTATTATTATTTTTGTGTGTGTGTGTGTGTTGGAGTCTTACTCTGTCACCCAGGCTGGAGTGCAGTGGCACGCTCACAGCCACCACAGCCTCGTCCTGCTGGGTTCAGGTGATCCTTACTCTCCAACCTTCCAAGTAGCTGGAACTATAGGCATGTGCCACCACACCTGGCTAATTTTTTGATTTATGATAGAGATGAGGTCTTGCCAAGTTGTCCAGACTGGTCTCGAATCCGTGGAATCAGGCAATCCTCTCACTTCAGTCTCCCAAAGTGCTGGGAGTATAGGCGTGAGCCACTGTGCCCAGCCGACACATAGAGATTAAGGAATTTGTTCAAGGTTGCCCTGTTACTACATTATGCTGCCTTCTGGAGAAATGTTGGTTATTACTGTATTTTCCAGGGAAATAGAAGGTTAAAGGATTAGTGGGTGTCTGAAAAGTGGGTGGGGGATACTAGGAGTGGGGAAAAGGAAGGGGAGAATTGTCTAAGCCTGGAAGTTTGTTGTTCAGAGGAGTAGAGTTTTCATGGATGAGAGGCTAGGACTCTAAAAGAAAAAAATTCAGGTTTCACTGGCTGATGGGAAGCTGACAGCAGAGGGGAGGCAGAACCTGAGGATGGGTTCATTTGATGGTAAGGAGAACCTAGGTGGGATTGTTGAAGCCCAATCCATGATGGTTTGCATCGGAGGAAAACCCTTCCTGGGTTAAGGATGAAGAGGAAGGAGGAAGATGTTGAGCTAATGATAGAAAGGGCAGGAGCCCTGCTCTCCTTACCTGCATCTGGTGGCAGATAGAAGACGAAGATGGCCAGGAGAGTGATGAGGATGCAGGGTGCAATGACATTGACCAGGTAGAAGAGAGGCTTCCGGCGGATGATGAGGTAGAAGGTGACTTCCTGATGTTGTCCTTCCCTCCCTCCCCTAGGATCCCCTGGAGGCTGGATTAGCCGAGAGGGTTTGTGGATAATCTCCCATTGGCCATTTTCTAGGAGTGAGAAGAAAGGCACACAGATGTGCTCTAATAAACTTGGACAAATCTCAATTTCCATATTGTAAAAATGTAGACAGTCATACCCATCTTACTGATCCCACAGGGTTGTACTGGGCATTGCTGACAGAATGTGTGTGTGTGTGTGTGTATGTGTGTGTGTTTTATTTTTTATTTTTTTGAGTCAGAGTCTCACTTTGTCACCCAGGCCAGAGTGCTGTGGCACACTCACGACTACCATAGCCTTGACTTGTTGAACTCCAGTGATCCCTCTGCCTCAACCTTCCAAGTAGCTAGAAATACAGGCATATGCCACCAAGCCCGGCTAATTTTTTGATTTATTGTAAGACGAGGTCTTGCCAAGTTGCTTATGCTGGTCTCAAACCCCTCAGGCAATCCTCTTGGCTCTGCCTTGCAAACTACTGGGATTATAGGCGTGAGCCACTCCACCCAGCTGAGAGTATATTTATCAGCCTGTTGGGAGCTGGAAATCTTAGAGCCATGTCCACTCACCAATGAAGGTCCCTTCATGAATTTGGATTTCCTGCTGCTCTTGCCCATCAGGACCCAGGCCTGTCTGCAAGCTGATCTCTGAGCTGTCATAACTGTAGGAACTGAACACCATAGTGCAATTCTGCCAGTCGAAGGGGAAGTAGGTGACCTGGATGGAAGGGGGAGTCACTAGAGCTGCCAAATAACTGTTCAGGCCTGGTGGAGTTTGGGAGGACATTGGGGAGGTCGCAGGATATGAGGTGCCAGGGAGATAGGGCTCACCAAGAAGTTACAGGGAAGTGGGATCACAGAGGAATTGGAGAGTTACTAAAGGAGGTCATTGGGAAAATTGAGGAGGGGAGTCACTGAGGAAGACTGGAAGTCCAAAAAGTGTACAGAGAAGATGACATTCAACGGAAAATCAGGAGGGCAAACGAGAGTTGAGGGTTATGAGGATTAGATAATGGAGGAAGGATGAGAGTCGCTGGGGAAACACCCGTCTAAGGAGAGGGAGGGCTCCTGAGAGCTCCTCTTCAGCTTCCCATGTGCAGGGCGGACACCTGGATGCTGCAGCTGCTGCGGTAGATGCCTGGGGGCTGCCAGCGAACGGAGCCGTCGGAGGACACCACGACGTTAATGTCCAGAGCGACGTCAAAATTTCCGTCATTGCTGCTGGGAAGGGATCCTCTCATCTGGGATCAGGCCCCGCCCTCCTAAGACCCCGCCCCTCAGAAACCCCGCCCCACCTCCCGTGCTTTGGGAAGACCCTACTTGTTCAGCAGCACCACGTCAGGTAACCACACGGATTCAGTCGTGATGCGCAGCGAATCGATGTCGTCGTGCTCCGCAGGGTCCCAGCTCAGCCTGTAGTCAGTCCACTCCTAGGAAAGAAGAGGCTGAGGGACTCTCCGGGACTAGAGGTCTGGAGAGGACCTGGGCTGTCCGAAGGCAGCCCAGGAGGGGAGTGCGAGAAGGGGAGCAGGGCGGGCATGGACTGTGGGTCAAGGGGCGGGGTTCTGTCTCCGGCTCCGCTTTCACTCCCTGGGATCCACATCAGCTAATTTTCCTTCCCCTGCATCAGATCCCAGTTTTTTCCTCTGTAAAAACGAGAAAGTTGCATTAGCTAGCTTTAAAACAGCAGTTTTCTTTCTTTTCTTTCTCTCGCTTTCCTTCCTTCCTTCCTTCCTTTCTTCCTTGTCGGAGTCTCACTCTGTCACCCAGGCTGGAGCCCAGTGGCATGCTCATGGTCACCGCAGCCTCGGCCTGCTGGGCTCAGGCGATCTTTTCGCCTCAGACTTCCAAGTAGCTGGAACTATAGGCGTACGCCACCACGCCCGGCTAATTGTTTTATGTATTGTAGAGATGAGGTCTCACCAAGTTGCCCAGGCTGGTCTCGAGCTCATGGGCTCAGGCAATCCTCTCACCTCGGCCTCCTAAAATGCTGGGATTATAGGCGTGAGCCACCGCGCCCGGCCCAAAACAGTAGTTTTCAAACTGCAGTTCACGAACCTTTAGTAGATGGGAAATCAAATTAGTGGCTCCAAACCAGTTGTTTTGTTTTTTGTTTTGGGGTTGGAGTCTCACTCTGTTGCCCAGGTTGGAGTGCAGTGGCACACTTACGGACATCACAGCCTTAACCTGCCGGGCTCAGGCGATCCCTCCGCCTCAGCCTTCCAAGTAGCTGGAACTACAGGCGCACGCCACCACGCCAGGTTAATTTTTTTATTTGTTATAGAGACGAGGTCTCGCCAAGTTGTCCAGGTTGGTCTCGAACCCTTGAGCTTAGGTAATCCTCTCGCCTCGGCCTCCCAAAGTGCTGGGATTACAGGCTTGAGCCACCGCTCCCAGCCCAAACCAGTGTTTTGAAACATTAGAATGAAAAATGCATGAAGTACAACTCCTATAATAAAGATGGGCATTGTTTCCTCAATCTACTTCAGTTACAAATATGTTTTCTAAGGTTATGATGTAAAAAAAAAAATTTACGGGGCCAGACATTCGAGGAAATTGCAAAGGCAGCCGAACGCCCTTTCCCACCCTGCGAGACCTCCATACCAGGTCTAAGTACACCTTTGTGCTCATCTCTTCATCCTTCTCGTTCTAGAAGGAAAACATTAAAGGGGTAGAGGTGAAATAGGGTGGAGCGAATGAGAAGGCTCTCTCTGGAAACCCCACCCCTTTTCTGAGCCCCACCCTTTTGGGTCCAAGACCCACCTCCCAAAAGCGGCGTTCGTTTAAACCCTGTCTCTATCTCGGAAACACCCTCTCCAGCCGTCTGAAGCTACCAGCCCCACCCCGCTCCGCCTAGCTCGATCCCGGCCCCGGCCACCGCTCGAAATCCACCCAGCCCGGAATCTCCGCCCGCTGCTGTTTATTGATCCTGTTGAGCACCAAGCCCCGCCCCACCCTGCCGTAACCTTATGCGGCCCCGCCTCCATGCCCGCCCCCCAGCCAGTCCGTCGGCCCCAGCTCCACTTCGCGATCCGCCCACAGGCCCGTCCATCATCCTACCAGGCTCTACTCAGGGCCGGTCCGGCAGCCACGCCCACAGCCTGTCCATTGGTTCGATTTTGACCCAATCTTCGCTAAAGGCTCGTCCATTTCTCAGTATGACCTCGCCCCAGGCCCCGCCCTCAGTCTGTCCATCTGTCTTGCCTTGCCTAGAGCCACGCCCTCCAGCCGGGTCACCGTCCTGACCTCAACCCCCCGCGCTCCCTCACCAGGCTGATGAGTTGCGCCAGGGTGAGACCAATGCTGACCCCAACGCGATCTCCCACCTCCCGCGCTGGCCGCACCGAGCTGTCATAGCCTGAGAAAAGTTTCTCGCGGAGCCGGCCCTCCGCCTCCGAGCCGCAGACGCCTGGGAGAGGAGAGCGCTAGGTGAAGCCTTGGTGCCCGGCCACGACCGGTGGCCCTGTCACTGCCCCTTAGGGGTCCACACTTACCTGGGGCGAGCGGCGTTCCCAGCGCCCCCAGCAGCAATAATAGCGCCCCTGTGGCCATAGCCTGGCCGCGTTGCTCGGTGAGTTCGCTCCGAGAGCCGCCGGGACCGCCAGCACAGGGGAAGTGACGAGTCGCCCAGGAATGTGCACCTGTTGTTGGGGGGCAGCCGCCAGCCCACCCGCCCCGCCCCTGAGCCTTGATCCGCCCCAGCAACTACCGAAGCCCGCCACCCACAGATGACAGATAACACTTTAGTTGTATAAATTGTCTTTAATTGAGAAAGCGTGGAGTGAGACCCGGTCCCCTGGGAGCTGAGCCAGG